ACAGATGGATAGATGGATGGAGGATGGATGGATGGATGGATGGACGGATGGGTAGATGGTGGATGGACAGATGGATGGATGGATGGATGGATAGATGGATGGAGGATGGATGGATGGATGGGTGGATGGATGGATGGATGGATGTGGCCATGGGCTGAGCAGGCTCCAGGAGTCACATTCCATGACCCGGCACCACACGTGGGAATTCCCACTGCGTGTTGGGAGTGCTCTCGTGCTGGGAGAACCCTCCCCTGGAGAAGCCTGACTGGCTTCATCCACAAGCCGGGCCAACCCGGACCTGCTGGTCTCCACCCACTGATCAGCCTCAGAGCCTCCTTCCTGCCCTCCATCCCCTCCTCTGAAATGCTCCTGGCCCTGCCTTCCCACCTGATAAGCCTCAACCCTACCTTTCCTCGGAACACTTCTCCCACCCAAGTGCTGACTTTGGCCCCCTTCCCTCCCTTGCAGCCGGACTGCCACCTCCACCTGCACCTGCGATGGGCAGACAACCCCTACGTGTCGGGCACCGTGCACACCAAAGACACTGCCCCCGGCCTCATCATGGGCGCAGGTAGGAGGAGCCATCACTGCCTGAGGGACACTCTCACGGGTAGACCTGGATGGCCATGGGCCTGGGTCCTTGGTGTGACTGTTGGGGGCAGGGGGCAGGGTCTCCAGGAAGCTCAGCAATCGTGGCACAGCCCAGGGGGTGAACGCGTGGCCCACAGTGGGCACGAGATATGTGCTGCTGTGTGGGAAAATGGATGGATGGATGGCCAACTGAAGGATGGGACGGGTGAGCCATGGAGGATGGGTGAATGAATAGGTGGATGGAGGAAAGAGTGGACAGTTAGATGGCCAGATAGGACTGATCACAGAATGGTGAGTGGATCAACAGAAGGATGGATGGATGCATGCGTGGATGGAAGGATGGATGGATGGATGGATGGATGGATGGATAGATGGATAAATGGATGGATGGATAAATGGATGGATGGATGGTTGGATGGATGGATGGATGGATGGGAGAATGATTTGTGTCATGGCTGACATGTATTGATCCCTGAAGAAGGTTCTAGTTTAGTCGGGGAGAGAGGCCCATGCAACTAACATGAGGAAAAAAATCAAAGCATAGACTGGGCACGTGCCTGTCTACACCCGTAAACCAGAGCCTCCTTCGGGGATGTGTACAAGTGCACTGATAGAACAAGGCCTAAAATAAGGATTATTTGAGTTCTTTCAAAATGGAAAGCATGTGTTTTGAACGTGTATTGCCAGGTAATGGCTGGCATCATATTTTCCTTGTAATGTGCAGGGTTATTTGCCCTCCGGCACCCAGTGCTGGGACAGCCCTGCCTGCTCCCGCCGGCTCCCATGGGGGTGGGAGCCCTGGGTACCACTGATAGGAAGGAAGGGAAAACGAGGGAATGTTCTTCATGCTGGCAGCTGTCCTGGACAGGCCTTTCCTCCACCCAGGCACTGAGCTCTTAACCGCTGCACCAGCCCTGAGAGGTCACTCCCCACCCCCTCCTCCCAGGAAGCTCCAGGTTGCTGGGTGTCACTCAGGAAGCCAACCCAGGCTCCTTACGGGAGGGGAAGCCCCCAGGGCACTCCTGCCTCCCAGCCCCTCAAAAGCACTGTCCTGATTGGCTGAATCCCCAAATTCTTGACCAAAATATAAAAGGCACAATTCTAAATGTATCTGTGGCTCAAAGGCCTCAAAAACCCGGAATGAGCTTCCTGGCTGCCCAAGAAAGCAGTGAGGATCTGGAGGTGTGTCACCGGGAACCAGCCGGCCACGCCCGAGGAGGGTGGCCCAAGGCAGCCTCCCTCCCTCCCAACCTCCCTTCCTCTCTCTTAGTCACATCCCTGGACCTCAGTTTCCCCACCTGTAAAATGAGGGCACCGCCTCCGGGATTCTGCAGGCCCTTCTGCGCTGACAGCCTGGGGACACATTCCGTGAATGTCCCTTTATTTGTCCCCGGTGTCTGTTAGGTGACTGGCAGCCTGAAAGCTCTGGTAGACGGAGCATGGAAAGCAGACAGCGTCCCTTGAAAGACAGACACGTGCACAGCCGAAATTACAGACCGGGGTTCGCCTGCTGAGTAGTGCTGACACGGCCACATTCACCGCGGCTCCGTGTGCGATGCGTGCGTCCCAGCGCGCCTGTTGGCATCCGGAATGCAGCAGAGATAATACCCCCGTCATCCCGCTCATCTGTCTAGCTGGCTCGTTTCACTCATCCCGTGGCCATTTCTCAGCACCGTTCGTTTGCCAGACGGGGGAGGACACGGGGTTCGGCACCTGCCCCTCTGCCCCTCCCTCGTCGTGCCCCTTCCCGCCTCCACGCTGCCGACCGGGCATCCCCAACACCTGGCACGGCCTTTCCTCCTCCCTTGGGCAGAGCACATTTGTCTCTCCGGGCACAGCTCGGAGGTCACTGCCTTCAGGAGTCTCCTTCCTTCCCGGGTCCATCAGCCGTCCCCTGTCTGCTCTTACAATCCCTCGGGCTTCTAGATATCCTGGCTCAGCCTACGGTTGCAGGGCATGCTTCTTCCCCTGCTGGATTGAGAGCTCTCTGGGAGCAGGGGCCATGGTTCATTCATCTCGGACCTCCCTCAGCTCTGCACAAGGCTCGACAGACAGCAGGTGGCCAGAAATGCTGTCGGATAAGTGCAGGGATGGAAGAGTGAGTGGAATTGGTGAAGAAGAGAAATGTGAGGATGGAGGGATGATGGATGGGTGAATGGACAGGTGGATGATGGACAGATGGGTGGATGGATGATGGATGGACGGATGGACAGACAGGATGATGGATGGATGGGTGGAGGGATAGATGGATGGTGGACAGATGATGGATGGATGGATGGATGGATGATGGACGGATGGACAGGTGATGGATGGATGGATGGATCAATCAGTTGGTTGATCAATGATGGATAGATGGACAGATGGATGGATGACGGACAGATGGATGGATGATGGATGGACGGATGGTTGGACGGATGCATTGGTGCTTGGTTGGACCTCAGGAAAGATAGCAAGCAAACAACCCCTCACCACTCTGGTTGGGACTCACTTTCACTCATCCGAAGACAACCCATTCCCTTTGGAATTTTCCACTGACATCTGTACTTGACTCTGGAAGAGATAGTCCCGAGAGTGCCCCGTAAATAATGCTGCAAATTGAGAGTGACGTGTGAGTCACCCAGGGCAAGGGCCTCTGGGGCTCCAGGCAGGAGTCCAAAAGGGCTTCAGCATCACCTCAGGTCCCCATCATCTTGGGGGCTGTCACCCCTGGTCCCTGCCAAGACCACAGGGGCAGAGCGGAGGCCTGCCAGCTCCAGCTCATTGGAAAATCTGTTCATTCCAGCCCTTCCCAAGGGACTGTCTGGGGCAGACTGGGCTCAGCCCAGAGGCCACCACGACCTTCCTGGCACCTGTGCTTTGAGAGGTGGATACTGTTCCCTCCGTGGGAGCCCATTTGGACCGTTTCCTCATCTGTAAGCTGGGGTTGGCGTGGACACTGAGTGGGGCGTCTTCCCACTGTGGCACCACCCCAGGATTCAGTCTGAGCCTGTAGAGGGCCTTGAGGGTGGTGACCCATCAGCCAGCCTGGTACTGGGCTCACGTGAACCACGGCCAAGGGGGACCTCCCGGCGGCCCAGTTGGTTTGGTGGCCCCTTCACATCACCCTCCAAACGTCCACTCAACAGATATTTAATGAGCACCTCCTCTGCGCCTACCGTGCCTCTCACCTGTACTGCCCCACGCTGCCGGACTTCTGGTCACCCCTGCAGCCAGACCCCCACGGGGCTGTCTCCAGATGCAAACCCAGCTGTGCCCTGCCCCAACTTAAAGCCGGTCAGGGGCCACCCCGACCCCATGCCGGCCCACCTGGAGCACGTGCTTTTTGCCGGTCCCTGATCAGCAGCCCACACGTATTCTTGTACACTCAATCCCTTGGACGCCTCGAGCGCCTGGGTCCCGCCTGCACCCGGGCCCTGCCGGAGCTCTGAGGCTGGCTGGCTTTGGGCAAAGCGAATCCTTCACTGCACAGACTGGGACCCAGGGCCCAAGCATAGAGGTTCCACAGGCAAGTCAGTGTAGGGAGAGTGCAGAGAGGGGCACACCCTCTCTTTGGGTGGCTTTGGGTGTGAGAGAGGTAGACCCGGGGCACACGTAACTCTCGCAGGGGGATTTGTCTGGGCACAGACCTTGATAAGGCTGGCTGACCCCAAGGGCGACCTTGCCCCTGTTCCGGACCAGGTAACCTGGGCTCACAGCTGGTGGAATATAAGGAGGAGATGTACATCACGTCTGACTGTGGGCACACCTGGCGGCAGGTAAGGATGTGGAGGCCTGGCACATTCCACCCCCGTTCCACGGAGA